GATATCATAAATTTGGATATCTGCTGAAAAACTATATGAATCGGATATAGTGTGTTTTTTAATCAATAAAACTTTTTTAAATATCTTGCTGCTTTTTGTATAAGTTCATACTCAAGTAAAAAAAAACACTAAAGCTATTCTGTTATACCTGTATGCAAAAAATGCACTGCACCCAAAATATTTCATAGTTCAGCAACACTGATCAATCTAATAAACTTAAACCTGCTCCATCCTCCCTATTCTGGTATTTTAAAGAGTAAGCAACCTAACTAATAGGATTCTAAAACTCCCAGCAAAAAAAAAAAAAAAAATAGGGAACCACCCACCCTCCACCTCATGATGCTTAATTGACGTAATCAACTTTAATTTGAAGCAGTGTGGAAAAAAATGCACAGAAATAAATTATTTTCCAAGAATAATTAAATAGATTCAACATCTTTCTTCAACAGAACTGCAGACTGCACAGATGGTATCTTCCCAAAGAAAAAAGTACTATAGCTTACTAGGGTATATTAGACTTAATAGTTACTATATACAGTAATGGACTTCTACACATTTTACATCAGATTAAAACTTTGGGTGTAAGATTCGGATATTTTTTTATTAAAAGCTAGACATTTTAAATGAGAATAAGAAAGAAAAGTATGTCTTTGTGCCCCCTTTTCACTGTTAATGCCTATCGGCCCCCCTGGCTAAACTTTGCTAGATCCGCCCCTGCACAATTACCAGCCGTCAGCTACGTAGAAAAAGATCCTGGTGTAGAAAGTAATAATAAATACATTCTAGCAAGTGGGCGATAGACAAGTAAGAGAGATGGACTTGCGACAGAAAAGCCGATCAGCTGATCATTGATCAGTTTCATGATTGAAGTAGCAACAGGAGAGGGAGGGAGAGAGAAGAGGCAGTCGCTCCATATATCGGTTGTAAAGGTTAATGCAGGAATGCTTTACAAACAGTGGCGGTCCTAGCCTGTTTGGCGCCCTGGGTGAACACTCCCTCTGTTACTGTTACTATTTTTTACCATTTCTTCTTGGAGCAACTGTAACCCACATAGGGATTAATAAAGTATTCTGATTCTGATTGTTTCAGGATGACCTGCCATTATCCAATGACCTGTATCTTTTTCTCGTTTCGCCTCCTCTTCTTTTCTCTTTTTTCTAAACTGAGGACCTGATGGCTTTGAACTTTTCTTATCCATCTTCCACTGGTTTTAATTTTGCACTCCAGTATAAACACCCATCCCCCAACCCAAGGATCATCACAACATAACCTAACACACCTCCACCTTAGTTCACAGATTCGCTTTGTCTAGGGTGCATTTCTGAGATTTCACACAACCCAGGATTCAAATCATGAATACATAATGGGCTTGGATTTACA